TCACATGGCAGTTAAGTGACCAGGGAGATGAGAGAAGTGCTGTCCTTATTCTAATTCAGGAAATATGTCCATTCTTTTGCTTTTGTTTTCTCCCTGCTATGATCTAGAATATTCCCTTTTTAGTTTCATCACCACTTATTAATTTTAGACTAAATTCAAGAAAAGAGGTATAACTGTAAGCAGTCTTTTCCTTTATATCTGGGAGGGATTTGCAGATAAGAGTAGACAGGGAAGTCTTTTTTTTTTTTTCCATTGAGAGTTCAGTTCCTTTGACCCATCCTGTTAAGTATCTTTTACTGTCCTCAGTAGTTTGGTAGTGTAGGTAGCTCTCTAGTGATTTAAAACCAGGGGCTACCTTCACCCATTAGAAGAATTCAGTAAAAGATTTTAGCCTTAACATGTGTATAGCCAAATCCTAATTGTTCAGCCTGAAAGATAACGAATGTTTGATATTGGAGGAACAATTTCTAATAGTTATAACTAAACTAATTAGAAGAAAAATGAGTGATTATTAGTCATGTTAGTGATGACACCATTAGTGGCTGTTATCTACTACTTATATTTACGTAAAGATAATTAACCTTTTTTGTAGCGATTTATAACATATTCTATACTTTGCTTTAGGTGTCATTTTTAAAAACAATCGTGTGAAATATTATCCTCATTTTGTAGGTGAAGAAATGGATAATTAGAGAAGTTAGTTACCTGTATTGTATAATTAGTAAGCTGTTAAATTGGGATATAGATCCCAGTTTCCTGAGTCTGCCTTCTATGCTTTTTCAATTTTATTTAATCTGTTTTTTAGTTAGAGGTAAATAGGAAGACATACTATCAACAATTATGTGATATATTTTCAACAATTGCTGACTTAGTAAAGTACCATCTATTAATTTCTTTAGACCAGTTATTATTATTTCTTTTTTTGAGACGGAGTTTTTCTCTTGTCACCCAGGCTGGAGTGCAATGGTACAATCTTGGCTCACTGCAACCTCTGCCTCCCCAGCTCAAGCAATTCTCCTGCCTCAGCCTACCAAGTAGCTGGGATTACAGGCACCCACCACCATGCCTGGCTACTTTTTGTATTTTTAGTAGAGACAGGGTTTCACCATGTTGGCCAGGCTGGTCTTGAACTCTTAACCTCAGGTGATCCACCTACTTTGACCTCCCAAAGTGCTGGGATTACAGTCATGAGCCACAGTGCTTGGCCTAGACCTGTTATTTATGGAGACATAATTTTATGTAGTGTCTCCTCACCTCTACCTTTATAAATTTAACTTAGTTTTAAAAATATCATTACTTGCTATAGTTGTTGCCAAAATGTTTTGCAGCCCTTTCATTTGTCATTTCTAATGGCAGTATATTCCATTGCATTGGTATACTATTCTCCCCCACAGACAGACCTTCGGGCTATTTCCAGATTTTAGCTCTAATATATAGCTGCAGCTATAAATACCTTAGTAAAAATTTTTTCTTTTGAATTATTTCTTCATGATACAGTGCTCAAAGTAGAAATGCTAGCACATGAACTGTCACTTAATGAATTTTGTCTTAAGAGAATTCCTTTCTGAAAGACTGTACCAGCTTAATGTGCTATAAGCAACATGTAACCAAATCCACACTCTTCTATCAAATTAAAGCTAGTGTCAGTTTTTTCTGCTTATAGATGTGAGGTGGTACTTTAAAAATTGTTTTAAGGTCCAGGCCTCTAAACTATTCTTGTAGGATGTTTCCTCCAGTGTTTTACCATGAGTGAACACTGTGTGACTGTCCTTATCCTCCGTCAGACATGGATGATAGCTCCCTTAAAGTTTCAGAGATAAAACTTATCTCTATAGTGTTAGTTAAAAATTTTCCCCTACTCTGTTACTCTGTCTTGCTTTTAATCTTTTTTCCCTTTAGGGTAGCATTTCAAATTTAATAGCACTAAACTCAAATACTTTATAATTAATACATTTCTATTGTTTCAATAGAATAATTTCTATTCCATTTCAGTTGGGAAATTATCTCTGCTCTTCATTGAAATATATATATGTTTTGTTTTCTTCTAGTTAAACTTTTCACAATCATATTTTTTGGAATTTATTATATTGTGGTATGAGGTGGCAGTCTAAATCAGTTTTTTGCTCTATTGATATTCAGTTATCAACAGCATTTATTATTACTATTTTAATGAGCATTTGAATATTACTCAGCCATAAAAAGGAATGAAATAATGTCTTTTACAGCAATTTGGATGGAATCGGAGGCCATTATCCTAAATGAAGTAATGCAGGAGTGAAAACCAAATACTGCATGTTCTCACTTATAAGTGGGAGCTAAGCCATGGGTACACACAGGCATACAGAGTGGTGTAATAGACATTGGAGACTCAGAAGGGAGGAAGGTGGGAGTAGGCAGAGTGATGAAAAATCACCTATTGCATACAATGTATGCTATTCAGGTGACTGGCATACCAAAAGTCCAGACTTCACCATTATGTAATTCATCCATGTAACCAAAAACCACTTGTACCCCTAAAGCTATTGAAATTGAAAAATTTGAAAAAAAGAAAATTAGAAAATATGTAAAAGCATAAAGGAAAAAATAGAAACGCTCAAAGTTGGCTATCCACAGTTAACTATGGGTGTTTTATTTTATCCTTTTGGTGTTCTTTCTAGCCATGCATATTATTCCCTCTCTCTTTTCCTTTTAATAAAGTCAGGAACATGCTTTACAAACCTAATAGCACTTATTAAAGTGATTTCTTTCCTTGGTTTACAGTTTTCTGTTTGTTATATCTTAAATTCCTATCAGTTTGGGCCATTTCTTGCTTTCTTTTTTTAAAATCAAAAATAGTTACTTATTGCTTATTTCTGATTGAACAGAATATACTTCCTAGAAATGCACTTATTAGAAATATAATTCCCACCACTTTGGGAGGCTGAGGCAGGCGGATCACGAGCTCAGGAGTTCAAGACCAGCCTAGCCAATATAATGAAACCTAGTCTCTACTAAAAATACAAAAAATTAGCCCGGTGTGTTGGCAGGCGCCTGTAGTCCCAGCTACTTGGGAGGCTGAGGCAGAGAATTGCTAGGCGGAGGTTTCAGGGAGCTGAGATGGTGCTACTGCACTCCAGCCTGGATGACAGAGCAAGACTCTGTCTCAAAAAAAAATATATGTATATATAATTTATATATATATATATATATAAAATTGCCCTTTATCAACACTTATTGATATGCATAAGGTATTGGGCAAATGAAAACAGTGCCTGACATATCGTAAGCACCACATTAAATGTTGGTTAAATAAATTATAATTGGAATCATGATCCAGAGAGATTTATAACATTCTATATCATTTAAAAATAGTATTCAGTTGGCCAGGTGTGGTGACTCATGCCTGTAATGCCAGCACTTTGGGAGGCCAGGGCAGGAGGATTGCTTGAGGCTGGGTGTTGGAGACCAGCCTGGGCAACATGCATGTATACTTATCTACAGTGAATGCATAGTTGCCTCTAGAGAGGGAAAGAGTCTTGGCTGGGGTTTCGAGAGACTCACTTTTGCAGTTGTTAAACTTTCATACTATCTGTGTGTTTTTTTATCCTGTGTATTTATTACTTTATTAACCAAAAATAATTCTATACAAATAAATAACACTGGGGAGGCAGAATATTATTTAGCTAGAAGTAAATTAAGTATCTTCTCTCTGCCTGCCAAAATCATTCTTTCTAACCTGTGTCCGTTAGAATCTTGAAAGCTGGACTTGCTTGCTGGCTTTTAGTAAAAGGTGGTAAATGTGAAGGTATAAGTAGAGGCTGGAAGAAATGAGTGTATCTCTCCCTGGCCAGCGAATTTCCAGGCAGTCATGGCAGTTATCACTCTGTGTCCCAAGCAGTGTACCTTCTTCTCCCTATTGCCTATTAACCCATCCCCAAATGGTGCTATTCCTGCTGCCTGTGTGCTCTCTTCTCCTATTGCTGTTAATTCAGTTCACCCAGAAAGTACTATTGACACTCGCTCTCCAATGTTTTAAAGAATTTAAAACGCGTAGAAAAGTTGAATGAATTGTACCATGAACACTTACATATTCACCACCTAGTTTCTATGATTAATATTTGGCTATATTTGCTTTATCATGCATTTCAAAATAAGTTAAAGATATCAGAATATTTACCCCTAAAGGCTTCAGCGTGCATGTCTATCATTGACTAGAGCATATTAGTTTATGGGTTTTTTTTTAAAGAAAAAAAAATATATATATATACACAATGAATTTATATTCGTGTGAACTGCACAAATCTTTTGTATCTTTTGATGTATTTCTTTTCTCTTTTGTATTTTTAGAGAGGGGGATCTTATTCTGTTTCCTAAGCTGGAGTGCAGTGGTGGAATCACTGCTCACTGTAACCTCAAATTCCTGGGCTCAAGTGATCCTCCCATCTTAGCCTCCCAAAGTGTTGAGATTACAGTTGTGAGCCACCACATCCTTCACGTTTGATGCATTTCTGACAAATGCATATATATTTTTATAACCGAAACCGCTTCAAGACTTAAATATAGAATATTACCTCAGAAAGTTTCCATGTGTTCTTTCCTAGTTAGTCTCCATCCCAACCCTGGTAGTAATCACTGTTCTGATTTTTTCACCATAGGTTAGTTGTCTCTCTGGCAGCTTTATAGTATTAGATTTTAAGTTTATGATCTGTTTTGAATTACTTTTCCTGAAAGGTGTGAGGTAGGGGTCAGGGTTCATTTCATTTTTTTTTCCATCTGGATATTCAGTGGTTCCAGGATTGTCATCCATTCTCCATTAGAATGATTTGGCATCACTGTGTACATTTTTAATAGTTTAAAGGACAGGCTTTTCTCCTTGGCTTTCTTGGTTAGTCAGGTATGGAGAGAGAACAGTTACTCCTTCCTGGTCTCCTAATCTGTTTACTTGTATTCTGAATGCCCTGAATTTTCTGTGTTTGGCAATAAGTTGTAGTGATTGGATTATCTGTTCTGTCTGGACATAGGATGACCAGTGTCCCAGTGAAGGAACGGGTGAAGGTGTCTCAGAACTGGAGACTGGGGCGCTGCCGAGAGGGGATTCTGCTGAAGTGGAGATGCAGGCAAGTAGCCTCTTGACATTTTTAAAGCTACCTGGGACATAAAAGCATAATGGAAAGTAGAAAATCTGGTCGTACCTAGAGGCTAATGGGGCTATCTTGGGTGGTGTGGCACTGGTGAGCCTTTGAACACCACAAAGGGGGCATCAGGACAACTTTTTTTACATTTCAATAAGGGAATATAAGAACTGTACTTTAACAAACAACATTTTTTATGATTATAAATAAATCAATGTTTATTGTAGAAATCTGAAGAAAAAGAAAATTCTAAAGAAGAAAATAAAACTAACCTGTAACTCCACCACTCAGAGGTAACCTCTGTTAACTTATACCATCAAAGGAAATAAATGAAATCAAGGTCCCAATTCATCTTATTTTATGAGTATTTTTCTTTAAATCTTCTACTTTATGGAGTTACTTCTTTATTCTTAGCTTCCTTGAGTCCTCTCCCCTACTATATTAAAAGGAAGGGTAGGATCTAAAGGTTTGGATACATATGTTACAGGAGTTAGAGCTTAGAGCAAGTGTCAGGAAATTTAGAAAATGTCCGTGGCACTGCTAATGCCACCAATTTTTATGCTTCGTTGATGCTAAATGACTTCACAGTTATTATTTGACTCCCTACAAAAAATTACTTCTTGTTGATTGGTTGCAGTGGTTAGGGAAAATTGGGAGTCCACATATCGGCATGACCTGTACCTGTGCTGAAGACACAGGCAGTCCTCCTCATCTGATGAACTTTTCTTTCTTGCTTGTGTCCGGTTTCCACTGGTTTCACTGGCATCAGATGCTGTGAATTGTGTGGTAATGGGTAGTGGTGGTGGTGGTGATGGTAAAGAAACTACAGGAGAGAAAGACGGGTTTTTATGATGACGGTCTTTACCCTCTGCTTCCCACATTTGCCTTTTGGGGCTAGTTTCAAACAGTTTGGCAAATAAACACAGAACAGTTACCAGGCTGCCCTGGGATTCTCCACTGTTCACCTGGCATGAACCTGGTTTCTTGTCCTAGGCAAATGGCTATTTACCAGATGGCTCTAAACACAAAAATTCCCACCCTCTCTGTTTGCTGCCCACCTGAGTGTACCATACACTCACGCAAGGGGGTGTTGAAGAGGAATGTGCATAACGAGTGAGAAAGCAGGCATCTGTACACACTCTACACATGTTCCATGTAATATATGCACACACTTGTAAAAACATCATGAGCAGAAACTCAGTTACTACAAAGTCTAAGCTGCATTTAATGGCCCGTCAAGTCAATTTGCAGAACTTTTCCACATTCCCATGACGCTTGTATTGAGTCTGGGGAAGAAACACAGCCCAGTTTGCTCAGACAGGCTTGGCAATAGGAGATGGTGGCTCTGTTCATGGGGATGAATCAGCTGTCCTTGTACTTTTCTTGGGACCTGGTAACTCCAGGACCCTATGTAGAATAGGATGGGTGGGATGTCCGCCTTGGGAAAGAGGCTTAGTTTCCACCAGAGAGGCTAGTATCTGACAGAGTTTTCTTTCTTCTTAAGGCTCATTCCCTGCCACAGGACTTGCCTGTGGCTTCTAGCCTTTCTTTCTCCTGTCAGATTGTAGAGGGAATCTTTAACTATTTGTGGATTTCTCTTATCAGTTGCCTGTGAGAGCTGACTTTTTCTGTAGCCCCTGAACTGTAGCAGAATGCTCTGGGGCTTTGTTTTTCCATTGCCACACTTACTCTCAAATACAGAAATGTAGATATCCCTGTGAGGATCTGGGTATCTAATCAGTACATTAGCATCCTGTCCTAAATGGCTTTATTCCTTTCACTTATAAATGGCCCTGTAGCTCTAACAGAACAAGAGAGTGGGGCTTCCCAGGGTTTATTCTACTCTTTTCTCCATCATACTTTAACTGATCTATTGTGAAAGAGGTATGTATGGGAGTCCTAGAACCTTGAAACTTCCCACTTACACTTTAAATCAGTGAAGATGCAGAATGAAAGAAAGCTATTTCACCTGGCTAGGAGATTTTTCTTTTCTTTTCTTTTGCGGTAGAGTCTCCCTCTGCTTCCCAGGCTGGAGTGCAGTAGTACCATCTTGGCTCATTGCAAGCTCCGGCTCCCGAGTTCAAGTATTCTCCTGCCTCAGCCTCCTGAGTAGCTTGGATTACAGGTGTGCCATTATGCTCAGCTAATTTTTGTATTTTTAGTAGAGACAGGGTTTCATAATGTTGGTCAGGCTGGTCTCGAACTCCTGATCTCAGGTGATCCACCTGCCTCAGCCTCCCAAAGTTTTAGGATTACAGGCATGAGCCACTGTTCCTGGCTGAATATTTTTTTTTTTTGACTGTTCTTACCCCTTGACCATTGAATTTTGTAAGCTCTGTCTACCCATGAGAAGTCCAGGTAGCCAGTAATTGAAACATTAAGTATTCTCCAATTAAAAGTGGTATTTAGTTGGTCTTTCAATTTTGAGTATCTTTTAGAAAGTCCAAGGAAGATTAGATCACCACAAAACTCAGTTACTCTAGTTTTCTGAGGGTAGCTGAGGGTTAGGTAATTTTGAAGGAGAGTATCAAGTATAGATAATTAGCCTTGTTGGTAATCCTTGCTAAGTTGGGGATTGACTAGTCTGTTCAAAGATTGGAGTTGAGTTTTCATACTGTATCTTGATAACTTTTAAATTTTATTTTCCATCATTTCAGTCAGATGCCTTGGATGCAGCTAGAGGATGATTCTCTGTACATATCTCAGGCTAATTTCATCCTGGCCTACCAGTTCCGTCCAGATGGTGCCAGCTTGAACCGTCGGCCTCTGGGAGTCTTTGCTGGGCATGATGAGGATGTTTGCCACTTTGTGCTGGCCAACTCGCATATTATCAGTGCAGGAGGGTAAGTGCTGCAGGTTTTTCCTTCCACCCTTTTCCATCTTATTCTTCAGGGACATTCTGCCTGCCTCTGACTTTTCTGTCTTAACTCCAAAGAAGTGAGGAGACCAGAAGGGTTTTCCATTTAGAGCAGAGAGATTTTACCAAAAGCAGTTAATAGGGTTAGCTGGAGAAGGAAAACAGTAAGAGCTTCTAATGAAAAGTGAAGCTGGTTTTGATCTTCTCCAGGGGAAAATTTATTTTGTCTTTCAGCTCTGTTCAGCCCCAAGTGTGCTGAAGAAGTAAAGGTATCTAGAAACTCAGCATCTTACTGAGCTGAATTGCCTAATGCTTAGCAAATTTGGATGTCATTGGAGACTTGGGCTGTTTCTGGAGAGTTGTTCTCTTCCTACAGAGAGAATAATTGGTTTTTGGGGGTTGGCTCCTTATTTCTCTCCTAGAGATGGGAAGATTGGCATTCACAAGATTCACAGCACCTTCACTGTCAAGTACTCGGCTCATGAACAGGAGGTGAACTGTGTGGATTGCAAAGGGGGCATCATTGTGAGTGGCTCCAGGGACAGGACGGCCAAGGTAAGGTGGTCTCCCCCTTACATACTATTACTTCCTCCTGTCTATAGGAAGTGGGGTGGATGGAGCCCTGAGTCCCAGGATTGGCTGAGAGCATTGGCTGGGGGCAGGGGAGAAAATGACACAATAAAGGACTCACTTATGTGCCTCTGGCATGCAGCTTGCCATGCCAATCGTCCCTGCCAGCTGGACTGGGAAAGGAGTGGACAGTGGCTGGGAAGGTTGCCACTCACTTGCAATGTGGCGTGAACTCAAAAACAGAGGACCTGGCAGCTTTTCCTCCCTGAGTTGCGTTTCCTCAAGTTTGTGGGTTGAGTTCTGACCCTAATATTTTATTTTAAAATCTCCCTCCTTTTGCTTGCTCTCTGTTTAGGGAGGTTGATTTTTCACCACCTTGTTTATAAGCAATCAGGCTGATAATTAAAATGTGTTTTCACTGCTTCTCTGGAGAGTGATGTGGTCAGTAAGTAGTAGAGACGATGAGAGAGGGGTGGTGTTTGTTGCATCTTTGCCAAATTGCCCGGTCCACAGATATCCACCAAAGCATAAAAGAAAGTGAGGCTGATAAATAGCATGACCCTTACTTCATGGACTCCACTATGTCTGGGTCAGATAGGCTCCCACCTGGGAGACAGAGAAGTCTTTCTCCAGGCCTGAGTCCAACAGCCCTAGCCAGGGCCTGCACCTTTAGGGTTGCTGCAGGAACTTTGCTGACAATTCAGTTGGTGCCGGAGGCCCAATAGTATCTTGTGTATTTCCTAGTATCTAGGTTCCATAGTGCTAACAAGGAGCAAAATGCTTGCTGGTGTGTCAGCAAATGGGCCTCTAAAACACATAGGGAGAGGACTCAGGAGAGGGAAATTGCAATCTTTACTCAGAAACTTATCTGACTACATGTACCCTCTGGTGATTACACATCCATATAGAAATATTGCTAATTTATATAAAAAGAAGGGCTAAATATGTTCCCTTCTTTTTATGGAAGTTTCTCCTCCTTTTACTATTTTCTTCCTTACTTTGTACTCTGTCAGAGAGAATGAACAGAAGCTCAGAAGGCTTGAGAAAAATCCAAATCTTTTGAACTAACACGAAACTGAATTTCCTGTCACTTGCTTCCTATTACCTTTCTTCATACTTAGGCTTCTGATTGATTGGTCACTGTCTTTGTACCATTCCTTGAAAAGATCCTGGCCTAAACCTGTTTTACTGCTTAAAAGTCAATTTGCATAGAAATCTTTTGTGGCATGTGTGACCTAGGTATTCCTGTCTTATTCTAGCATCTTCCTTTCATGGCTTCAGGCTTCCCCAAGGTCCTCCTTTTCAGTGACACCTCTTTCTTCTGTTCTCTGTGGTCTGATACCCAGGGCAGTATAAAACCAAGCTTTATAACCACAGGTAGCAATTTGAGGGCATGGACTGCTTCCAGGTGAAGAATAATAGCAAATTTATTTGAAGTATTGGGTTAGTTTCATGTTTAAGTACTAATTTAGCCCTATTTAGTATCTTAGATTTTTAAAAAGATCTAACATAGATACTTCCTTCTAAAATTGTCACTGCAGTCCATCTTCTTCCTTCTGAGGATTTCTTTTAGGTCAGTGACAGAATCCTCTTCTCTGGTCCTGAAAGCTGGTCAGCTGTTTTGTGGCTCCCCTGTGACCTCTCTGCCAGCTCATCTTTCCTGGCTCTCCAGATGCTGCCTGGGCTTCCCTACTCTCTGTTGTTATCTTTGCATCCAGCCACCTTTGTTATCCTGAGCCATTTTCACATTAGTGTACTCAGTTTGTCTTTTATAACTGAAACATCATTTCTTTTCAGTGACATCTGAAATTCTACAGCTGCTTCTCCAGGCTTCTAATACACCTGAACCTTCATAAGAATTACAATATTTGCCTGTAACCATCTATTTTTGGGGAGTTCCCCGAATATGCACTGTATTTTAGGAAAGAGATTTATTTTATGGGGTAAAGGAAAGTAAAACAATCTCTTTGCAAGACCTCTGAGCTAGGGACTGTTCAGAGAACCCTCTTCCTTCCCCTGTCCACAAGCCCAGTTTCATATTTACTGTGACTTACTTAGCTTGGATTGTGTCTCTGGGCTTTAGTGGGGCCAGCCCCATCTTGAGATATGAACAGTTGGTAACTTATGTTCTTAATGAGCCTGGGCTGGTACTAACCATTCCTTCATTTTCTCCTTTATTTCTCTATTCTTTCTTATGAGTGACTACTGTGTGTGAGGCACCTGGCCTCTTCAGAGGTAAAGAAGACACAGCCTCTTATCCTTAGGGTGAGATGAGATGTGTGTACCTGGCCATGCAGCTGATTGGAAGCTCTAGGGAAGGAGCCAGAAAGTTTAGAGGGTGGAGAGATCAGATTACATCTGGCTTAGAAGGGAAGATTTATTGTAATAAGAACCACCATTATTGTTTGCCTGATACCTACCAAATACGGTGCTGCTGTGCTAGATGCTTTATACTTTTCTCCTCTTTTCCACACTATAACCCTGAGATAGGCATCATTTCCCATTTGACACATGAGGAAACAGGAGCTAAGAAGTTATCCCTAAGATCAAAGATAATAAGTAACAACTAGGGTTCAAATCCAGATTGGTCAGATGCCAAAGCCTATGCATGCTTTCTCTGCAACTGCAGGCTGCAGGTAATATTTTACCATTTAGGTTTTTCTTTGTTTTAGGATTATTTTCTTAGGATAGATTTTCAGCGACAAAATTACTGAGTTAAAGGCTTTGGTCATTTTAAAGCTTGTGATGCATATCACCAGTCTGCTTTTTAAAAGAAATGTACAAATGTCTACTCCCACTGAATCTTTTCTAGGGATGGATCTATTTTGAATTTGGCCATGGAGGGCAAAGATAGGATCAGCATATTGTTGTCATCTCCTGTCCCTCCGGTGCCAGGATGGAATCTCATGTTTCTTGAGGCTGATGTGCTGCTGGGCCAAGCCAGGAGGGCCACTTTCCTAAGATCATGCTCAGAATTGGTGGCATGCTTCCTAAGCCACTCCTGGAGACCAGGAACCTTATTTTGTGGTTTGCAGAATTTAGGAATCAGTCTTCCCTTTCCGTGGAGGACATTAGTGAATTCAGGCCTAGGCCGTCCCCATAGATTTTATAATCGGAGTCCTTAGTGTCTCCTCACCCTTTCAGCAAGAATCTGCCTCCCAGGGAGTTTGTGTCAGGGAAAAGGCAAAGCTCTCTTCTTAGCTGGGCTGCCTAAAAGAGAGTACATTGAAAATGTATCTAGTTATTGCCAAAGGGGACTGACTATGGAGTCCAAAGAGTAGGCCTGAATCGCAGCACCCCGGAACAGTTGTGGTGTTTACCTTTGTTTTCTGCCCCTCCTCATTTAGGATATTCTTGTTACATTTATTTTCTTTTCACTGTGTTGGGAAAAGTAACTCACATAATCCTCCCATCCCCCACCCCATCATACACACAAACTCTAAGAAACACTTTCTCCTTTCATAGGGAAGAGTTATCATGTGACCCTAAGAAGGCAGGACCACCCCTGCTCCATCACCTACCCTTTAAACTTGAGGAATGTTTTCTTTAAAGTTCTTCCATCTAAGGTCCTGCCTGAGTTTTGCGTGTTCCCCTTATAGCACTGCTGGGACCTTAAGAGGTCATTGATCCATCTGGCTGCCTCTGGATCCCTCTGTGGCTGCTGTCTCAGGATACTCCTGTACGTTCGAGGTTTCCTTTCTGTTTGGTTAGAGGCTTATGTCCCTGTGTGTGTCATCTAGGGTAGGGTGAGGTGAGGGGGAGCCCTGTGCTTAATGGGAGATGTCTAAATGCACTGACTGCTGAGAGGGCTCTGTGAGTGTTGATTAGAGTTAAGCCCAGAGTGGCTGCTAATGTACATTCCTGACTGATAGGGACCAGATAATGTGCTCCAAGCAATATTTTTAACCTGTAGGAGATATGGAAGCTTAACAGAGTTAAGCTTTTCTGCTACTTTTGGTGACACTAGGTGCTAAATTCCCTGCTGACGTGAATAGTATTGGATCCTGGGCATTATCAACAAACAAACAACAACATACCACCTTCCCACTTGGAAGTCTCTCTTCTTCCATTCTTTCCTTACCTTGCATCTTTCTTTTTACTTCTCTCTCTAATTCTATTGCTGTCCCCCCAAATTGTGCCTTGATCTTCCACCCTCTCCCTACTTCTCCAGAGTAAAATCTTGGTGAGAGACAGGAGAAAGGAAAATCCACAAATATAGGAAAGCAGCCAAAAGAGGCAAGCCCCACCCACCCACTTCTCAGTCAGGTCTCAGCTGAGGAATGTGGAACTTCTGATTCCCCAATATAAAGTTGGCTGGTAAGTAAGGGCTGTCAGTGGAAGTAAAAGAGGGTTGTTAAGATGGAGAGCTAGGGCTTCTCTGGGTGGGTAGGTGAGCCAGAAGCTGCAGAGGGCCCTCTGCTGATACCTGAGCTCTGTGTGTGCAGGGCAGGAAAGATGCCCCATTTCTCTACCTCCAATAGTCACCCCTCCCAGAGCACCTCTCCTCCCCACTGATCCCAGGCAATGCCAATGAGAGCATCTCCTCTCCTGTTTCCAGGTGTGGCCTTTGGCCTCAGGCCGACTGGGGCAGTGCCTACACACCATCCAGACTGAAGACCGAGTCTGGTCCATTGCTATCAGCCCATTACTCAGGTAAGGGAGACATATTTGGATGTGATTTTCTCTTGTATAATAATGCTTTTATTTTACTAGATCAGATGAGCTAGAAAATCTTCCACTTGTGTATTCTAGGTTGCTTTGAGCCACTGTCTTGGAGATTTTTTAATCCTCCAGAGATTTGAGGTGTTTAGGTCACTTTATATATGCGTGGGATTGAGATAAACTTTTAAATATGAATTTCCTAAGCATCTAACCTCAGAAATATTAAGGAAATAATATAGGAATATATGAGAATATGACAAAGAGTCCAGCTGTTACCAGGAGTGTCCCTTCTGAAACAGTTGTCCTCTGGTGTTGTTCCCAAAGCAGAGGCCTCTTACCACCCCTGGGAGCTGACAGCATCCAACTTGCTCTCACAACTCATATGTCTGCTTTTTTCCCCTTGGAAAATGTCCTCTGGAGTATCCCTTACAGACTTAAGTCATCAGGAGAGGCTTGGGGCCCAGATCCAGCTGTGTCCTCAAACAAACACATGTGTGGAGAAGTAGTGACATTGATTATTGTAGCAGAAGTGTGAGATTTTGATGATGGATTTACCCTAGCCTTTGGCCTGACAGTTATTTCTCTCTCTCTCTCTTTTTTTATTATTTTATTTTTTGAAATGGGGTGTTTCTATGTTGACCAGGCTGGGTTTGAACTCTTGGCCTCAAGTGATCCTCCCATCTCGGCCTCCCAAAGTATATGAACCACTGTACCTGGTCCTGACTGTTAGTTCTCTAACCTTACCTATGAACAAGTTAGGTTTGCATCCGACTTCCACTTTTGAGGCCCTCTGGAACCAAGACAATCCCTCTTCTCCCCAGCGGGGTACATAGACTTTGCTGTACCTGTTCTACCCCAATATTTTCCTAGGGTCTTCATCCACTTCCTTTACCCCTCACTCCCTACTCACATGGAAATGTGAAAGCTGTAGGGCTGCCATCCTCCAACACTAGGTTTAAGTCACTCGCTTATTTTATAAGAGACTTAGCCCTACCCACTTTACTTAGGCCCTTCAGCTTCTTTCTCCTCACCTCATGGAGCCTGCACCCCTCCTCCTGCTCCCTTCCACAACTCCCTTTCAAATTTTTTTCTTCCTAAGAATTAGAGCCGATTAGCCACGTCATTAATTCTTCAATTTGACGGCTGATATAGCAAGACCTGAAACACATTGCTGACCCCAGAGAATGGAGACCCCGTTCCTTAGCATATTGACGATGGGAGAAGTTAATTAAAATTCCACAGAGCAGAGGTGTTGGCTAACCTATAAACCTGTCGCTGTTCAAAACAAATCATTCTAGCAATCGTAGGAAAGAGGGAAGGAAAGACCAGCAGGGAGTGGAGAAGCTAAGTGTGTGGGAGCAGTGGGTGGAAAATGGAGCCATCGAGCTTTGTCTCCTCCTCATTTTCTTCCTAATGCTGCCCTTTTGAAAGCCAATTAGCCAGACCTGGGCATCCATGGGCTGGATAGAAGGAAAGTACTACGGCCAGTGAGAAGTGAAAGGTGTGCTAGTGACTTTGTCTTAATGGTTGCGGTTGCTTGTGGACTTCTGCTGGTTTCGGGAAACTGGAGTGGAGGTGGTGGTTGAGAGCTCTCAGGGCTGGAGATGGTCCATGTGCTTCCTGCATATGGATTGAGGCCAAAGAACACAAACAGGCTCTGCCCTGCACCCCTACCCTACATTTCTCTATTCCAGCCTCCTGATCTGGAATGTTAGGCTACGTCTTAACAGAATAGGGCACAGCAACTATTGAGGATGGTGTCAATTAAAGATTGAGGACAGAGTCTGCCCTCATCATTGGGAAGCATTTATGATCACAGTAAACTAAGCTTGGGTTTTTGGCCACAACTTGGAGACTGGCTTTGGGGAAGGACCTAGCTTTCTAACATTACTACTGCTACTATATGACTGCTGCTACTACTGGCAGCTAACATTTTCATTTGCTCTGTGCCAGACCCTCTGCTAAGTCCTTGATGTGTCTCATCCTTGGTGAAGACCTGGGCTTTATGTTTTCTTCACAATCTTCTTCAGGGTCTTCCTGTCTTCTTCTTGACCCTGGGATTTTTTTTTTTTTTTTTTTTTTTTTTTTTTTTTGAGAGGGATCTCACGATGTTGTCCAGGGTGTTCTTGAACTCCTGGGCTCAAGCAATCTTCCCACCTCAGCCTTGGGATGATTCTTCACTCTGTCAGCTCCTGACTCACAATTATTTAAGATGGCCTTCCCCTAACTCCATAGATGAGATCTTGGACTCTTTTAAAAAATAGTTTGGGTTTGAGATTCTGTCTTTCCACTAGATGACCAGAGTATATGCCAGTGTTATCTCTGCCCCTTTTTCTCTTACCCAAAGAATATACTGGGGTAGGTTTTACCTCATTATTAGGTCCATTTCTTCTCAATGTGACCATGAATTTGAACCTTTCAATAAACTAATCCATTTTCTCAGTCTTTAAAGACACTGCCTCCCAGCCTCAGGGTCTGTTCTTTAGAGCAGTCTAGGAGATGAGTTCTGCTTTGCCTTCAACTAGCAGTGTGGCCTCAGGCAAATCATTCCCTCTCTCAGCCTCAGTTTCTTCATATTAAATATGAATACTCTTTCCTTTACAGACCTTACTAGGTTATTGTGAAGGTGATCTGAAATAATCTATATGAAAATATTAATACTCTGAAAAGCTAATAGGGCTATAATATATGTGTGTTGTGTATATTGAGGCAGGGTTTCACTTTATCACCCAGGCTGGTTACGAACTCCTGGCCTCAAGTGATCTTCCAAAAGGGCTATAACGTAATGTCAGCCAGAATCCTCTCTGGCCTGGTGTAGCATTTGCTTAGTGTCTTCAGCTGCTGTTGAGTCTCTACCCTTTTCCTGGGCTCCTCCTGGCCCCAGGGAGTTTCCCTGCCCTTTTGCAGTCTTCTTGAGGTGGGTACGCAGTAGGATTCTCTCTTCCCTATGTAGTGTTCCTGCCCTCAATGACTGCCTTCAGTTCCCCTCCCTGCTACCATTCCTGTTGAGTATGGTTGTCAGTGTCACTAATGTGATAGGACCCTCAAGTCCTCATGGAGAACATGAGGGAATGTGGGCAGCCGGTGTTCTGGCCCTAGAGCAGTACTTCTGGTTTACCTGCCAATTTCTCAGCCCCTTGTTGCTCCCTTATGCAGTTAGGAGGAACCTGGACAGTTAGGAGACCTAGCACAGCTCTTTTCTCAATTTACCTCTTTCTTCTATTTAAAATAATTTGTCAGACCTATTCATCTTATTTATCTTTGATGCTGGGACTTTTCTACCTTCTCTTCTTATGTATCTACTCAGGTACTTGTGTGAAACATGAAACTTCAATCCAGAGGCTTAATTTGAGGTCCTTGTGACTGAGAGAAAAGCAAGTATCTGTCCTGTGTCCAAATATCTGCTTTCCTTCCTTCCTTGACTTTGAATTCTTGATTTGTAAAGAGTCATGGAGGATGATATTTAATACTGGTTATGTGCTTAGAGCCATGTGTAGATACTCAAAAAACACAAAAGGAGAATCAACATGCTGAAAGGAAAGTGGCAGGCAAGGACCTTTTCTTCTGCCTCCCGCATACTCTGCTACCCATTTTCTTGTTCAACACCGGTAATCTTGTTTTTAAGATTCCTGACTCAGAAAAGAGGAGGTCTCACCTGGAGTTGTTGGTTGACTGATAGAAGGATAGGTTAAGATGGCCCAGGAATGAGATGCGGGGAGTCATGCCTGGGGTGGAGGGGCATATGTCTGAGTCTAATTGTGGGGCAGGAATACCTTCAGCTCACAGGTCTCAGAGATACAATCTTCTGAGGTCACATGGAATTCCAAGCAACTTCCCATGAGTAACACATAAAAGCAGACTTTTTTTTTTTTTTTTGAGACAGTGTCTTGTCTGGAGTACGTGGCACAATTATAGTTCACTGCAGCCTTGAACTGTTGGGCTTAAGTGATCCTCCCAGCTTGGCCTTCTGAAGCGCTGAGATGACAGGTGTGAGGGCTATGTCTGGCCAAAAAGCAGATTTTTAAAAATGTATAATATGTTTTATCGCCATTTAAAAATTATTTCCAGCTGAATACGGTAAATACTAAAGTGTAAGGAAATGTAGAAATAGTAAACACTTAGCTTCATTCCCTTTGACTTTCCCTCTCCCCTTCTCACCCTTTTCACCTCACTCCTTGCGTATTTACTGAACACTTGATACATGGCAGCTTCCCCAAGGATCTTATTCAGTGGTAGGGATACAATAGACACATGGCTGTAATGATTGCCAGACTATATACCAAGTGCCTTAACCTAGACTGTCCCTGGTTGGGGAGGAAGGGGGAGTGTCATTCTCTTCTGGGCAAAGGCAAAAATTCAGGCCCAGGGAAGATCGATGCAGGGCCATATGTGGAATAGGGCAGAAGAGGCAGTAGTTTGTACCCAGGTCTCTAGCCTGTTGCCATGTCCTGTGTGCTGAAGGAGGACCACAAGCAGGCCTCTGGTCATTGCTGTGCCTTATTCACCAGCATCTTGGATGGTAGCTGTGGCCCATGAAAAGCTCTGTGGGGATCTGTGAATATTCTCTCTTCCTGGAGGCCAGAGTTGAGACAGGGAGGAGTGGGAGAAGGCAGCATACAATTGAGGCTTGGACTCACTCAAGTAGATGTGAATGCTCATAAATCTTCAGCTTTCAGGCCCCCTCCAAGCAAGCCACGAGGGCCATGTGGTGAAGTGGATCTGTAGACGTACCTATCCTGTTTGCCTGAGGGGAAGGGAGAGGAGCCCACAGCTTCTCCTTCCTCTGCAGACACCATAGTTATTACCCTCCAAGAAAAAGAAGGTGCTCAGCAGAACCCTTTCCCCATCTCCAAAGGACACTTGCTATCGTGTGAGTGAGTGTGGTCAGGAAGGCTTCCCATGACACTTGGGTTTTAATCTCTTCTCTCCCGCTTCTGTCATTAGGGAAATATATGAGTGGTATAGGTGTAGAAACTTGACTTAGCTGTTAT